ATCTCAAAACTGCCTATTTGAGTAATTTTTCGAAGGACTTCCCAAAGGAAAGAAAAAAATCAACGCCACAATAACCCTTCGTAAACTCAGGGCATTTAGCCACGAACCCCGCACACTACGTGGTATGTAGTAACAGCCACAGCCACAGAAACGAGGCGCAGCATTTGCATTTTTCTTAGCCTGCGTCGTGTCTCGTTTCGGCTTACGAAGAAGCCTGTAACTCCTAGGTTCTTCCAAGATTCTCTTGGAAGGCTAAGTCTCTAACTAAGCCACCAAGAGGTTGGCCAAAACACATGCCCAGCCTATCAGCCCACGCGTCCACGTCATCTGGCCAGGTGCCGGTCCTTTTGATTTAGAATATTTACATACAACATACTCTTGTACTAGAATGCGAATGCGAATTACCGTGATCGAATCACTCGCTCATTCCTACAGTCCCTACACTCGCTATAATTCATCCTCGTAGAGCATGGCTCCCATACACGATCGGCCCGGAGCTTTCTTCACCGAACATCTAATCCGGAGTGCCAGAGCTGCCGTGGTAGCAGCCGGTCCGGAAGTAGCCAGACTCGCCCGGCGGGACGCCGTATCTCGTCGCGACCTAACTGTCACCAGCGACGCCCAAAAAGTCACGCTAGGCATAATCGCTGCCTACGTCGTTATCATTGCTATTCTATGGAACGTGCCTTATGTACGATGGTCGTTATGGCCTTTCAAGGTATTTACCATCTCATCTCCCTAGTTATCTTGTATGACTAATTTGTATGACTAATAATAAACTCGATAGATGCTTGTCATCGCTTTTCATGAGTTTGGACATGCTATCACCGCTTGCTGCACGGGTGGGCGTGTCAAGTCTATCTCGCTGGATCCGCGCGAGGGAGGTGTCACTCATAGTACGTACCATAGACTCTTCGTTCCTCAATCACACCTATCTAGCTTGAACACATTACTCCCGTTTCATGATCTATTACCCCCTTAATGGTTACCAGCCTTGCAGAATATGCTGACTCGTTGATAGTGGTCGGCGGAAAGAGTGCTATCACTTTACCAGCTGGTTACCTAGGATCTTCCCTCATCGGCGCCCTACTTATATTCTGCGGCTTCGACATCGTTGCAAGCAAAATCGCTAGTCTAGTACTAGCCGCCTGCTTTCTGTTGACTCTCTGGTGGGGTAAGAAGGACTGGCTCACAATCTTGACCATCTTGCTTGCGGTAGGGCTCCTAGTAGCTTGCTGGTTCATAGTCCACGCCGAACCGCTGCGCTTCGTCGTGCTTTTTATCGGCGTCATGAGCTCTCTGTACAGTGTTTGGGATATTGTGAGTTTCACCCGCGGTTCCCCTTCTATCGCCGTCGCTAACCAATGTCTAGTGCGATGACTTGATCCTCCGCAAAGTCAACAGCTCTGATGCCAGCGTTTTCGCCCAACGCTACGGTGGCTCTTCTCAATGTTGGGGCGTCATCTGGTCCATCATTTCCGTCTGCTTCATGGCTGCTGGCATTATTGCTGGCATTGCTGCATTCCCGCAGTCATTCGCACAGCAAGAAGAGGACTCCAAGAACTTCCTGCCGACCCGTTAAACGAAACCGATGATAAAGCTGAACAGGCATGAAGGCATGGAGACATACCCAGGCACTTAATGACTTAATGATCACTACGGAATTCCCAAGCTCTTTATCACTTGGGAACATTGGGCGTACCGGCGGAACTGATATTCTGGTCTGTTATAGATACCCTTTATTCCTTATAGCAATGGCGAGGTGCTCCATCTTATGTATGCTATTGTATAAATCTTAATTGTTTTTTTTTTCTCATCGTGGCCGGCATTCACATTTGTTATTCTCTTAGTACGTACTGTATACGGTTCGATTTAGTCGATGTGTTGTCACCTACGTAGTAAAACCTCGAGCTGTCACTGCGCAGATTTTCATCCAACGGCGTCTCTTACATAGCCAGGCCGAATGATTAGTACAAATTAACCAGATATCCTAAGAACCTAAAACTTTACTATCGACTCTTAGTAAGTAGCCATTTCAAACAGATACTTCTGACGCGTCAACTCAGAGGTTATTCGTACAATACAGAAGGTTAGACGTAAACAATACAAAGCGTGAAGACGTGTGATATTCTTTTTGAGAAAAGAAATTGCGCGTACTAAAACAGGGAGTTTTGTATACATGCAACAACCCTGGAGGATTTTTGCGGGCACTTGTAAAACAATCCGAGAGGATTCCGTAGAACTCGTATCTATATGTAGGTACCTAGCGAGCAGCGGCGGTGGCGCATAATATTACAGGTTGCTCGTTTTGTTAGATCACTTCCCCTTCTGCTAAGCCATACCATGAGCGGCGCTAGGAGAGGCCGCCAGTTCGATTAGTGTGAAGAGCATGGAGATCTACCTATGATTAAATTAAGTCAGAGACTCTCGACAGCGCGCAACGTAATCTTTCCAAGACATATTGCATGTATTGATCAAATCTCGAGTGGAATACCTTTATTTCTAGTTACCTACTTACTCAGAAGCTTGTTCACCTAGCCAAGTTTAAGAGATGCCCTTCCAAGAGCTTATATCGCGTTTGAAAAGCACAAGAAAGCCTCGAGATCAAGAAAGGGATTCCCGCGAGGATGAACGTCGAGAAGATGATCTAGACACGTTGCAGCAGACGAAACCGACACCGCAATACACCTCAGGCCGACCTAGTAATAGTCAGCCGAAGCCAGTAAAAGGACTGCGGAAAGCCTCGGTCTCAGCCAGGCTCTCGACAAACCGAGATAACTCAAATCGGCCCACAGATCATGACGAAGAGCAAGATCAGGAACAAGATCTTGAACCCGAACCATCAGATTACCTTTATTTTGGCGAGGGTATATCAGCGACGGACATCTCACGATCGCTCGTGAACCAAACGCAAAGCAAATCAGTCAGCAGCGACATCTCGGGACATTCTTCAGCTAGAACCAGGAATAACCCCACTCCTTCTAGCAATGGCGGAAAAGATAATAGTGGATTTATCGAGACTGGTCTAAATGTACATACAGCGCAGATGGGTTATTCGAATTTAACATATGGAGGATCTTTACAATACGACTATTCTGGCACCCATGGTCAGCCCTATGCTGGATAGTCGGCGTTTTCAGTTAACAGTATATATGTACATACACATGCTTAGATATGACGAAATATGCTTCTTACATCCGAACATAAAACAACCTACGTAAATGCATCGTGTACAATGCTTAAATGCAATAATGCGAATATGGCATAACCGAGGCATCTTCGACTTCGAAACAGAAAGCTGAAATCGTCGGATTTTATCTACAATATTACAAAGCAACATAAAACTTATAGGTTTATATCCGTCTATGTATGTTACGCGCGGATCCAAGATCAAAAGAGCCTTAACTCATAGATAACTAGGTCACCAGCCACTACTAAAGTTACGTTCCCTTCCGTCGAGGATGTGGCTAAGAGCCCGGCATTTTCGACGGCGATGTGGCAACTTGAGCCACACCGATCCGGACTCTTGCCGGTGGCTGCCGGGAGAGGAGGGCCGTTAAATATCAGTTGGGAAGTTCACGGAGACGGCCCTGTGAGACTAATAGTATGTAACTCGATCGAGGCGATCTAGACTTTCAAAGACGTTAAGGCATACTAAGCCCTAACCACAGCTCATCAGCGGTCTCGGGTTTTTTAAGGCAGCCTTCCAGCGGCAGACAATGTATTTCGGACACATACACGGGTCTCAGTATTCCGTTCTCATCCTCGACAATCGAGGGATGGGTGGTTCCGACAAGCCATTGATGCGGTATAGCACATCGGAGATGGCGCGAGACATCATAGAAGTCGCCGATCACTTAGGTTGGACATCGCCTCGGCAGCTGCACGTGTGCGGTATCAGCATGGGCGGTATGATTGCCCAGGAACTCGCGTACCTCGTGCCGGGCCGCATTGCTAGCTTGAGTCTGATTTGCACGGCGGCCCGGATTGAAAACACTACCTCGTTCGCTGAAAATATGGCGAACCGCATTACCATGCTATTACCCAAGAGCTTGGATCGAAGCATACTATATGCGGCCGGAGCCATCTTCCCTCCGGACTATCTGGCTCGTCCAGACAACGCCTCGGTCCCGGATGAGTCGGTGCCGAAATGCAAAATTCCGGCCGGGGGATACGGCAAGTTCGGGAGCAACTATGAGCGCTTTGCCGCCCAGGAGATCACAAAGCAGAGAGACAAGGACGGCTTCACCAAGACGGGGTTTTTGCTACAGCTGATCGCAGCTGGGTGGCATCACAAGAGTCCCGAGCAGTTGAAGGAATTGGCTAACAGTGTAAACCGCGAGAGGATCCTCGTCTTGCACGGAACCGATGATGGCATGATATCAACTCCCCATGGAAAGAAACTGATAGAGTACCTAAAACCAGGCCAGGGCTTGATAGTCGATGGCCTGGGTCACGCACCCATTAACGAGCGAACACTATGGTTCAACGAATTACTCGCGGCACATTGCTCATTAGGCGAGAAGCTGAACGGGCAGTAGAGGAACCTAGCACTCATATAAAGATATACACGGGTTGGTAAAACATTTTCAGAAATACTTTTAGTAGCCGCTGTTCTAAACCCAGTACTGATTTAGTATTTAAGTAAGAAATCATTAGCGAATCAAGGTGGTATGGTTCTGTTGGTACATTTTACAGTCGCTTTTGGCATTCGATCGTGGACGCCTATTCTGTAAACTCAGGTATCTCGTAGCAAACCTTCAAAACTGTCAAACCCGTGAAAGCATTGCCTTAGCCTTATATCCCGCCGTTCCTTTAGAGTACGAAATGCAAATTCGTCACCCGCATTCCCCAGAAGATGCCAGCGTAGGCAAAAGAGAGCAACTCATGCCCTGTCTTTCTAACTTACAGTGGCGATGAAATTCTGATATTGCTCGTCGTCGCCCAGCGGCCTCGCTATAGTCTTCTGCGGTGGGGTGGCCGCAGAGGAGGGTTTGCTGGTCCCTGCCCACAACACTCCGGGCTGCTGAGACTGGCTCGTCGGGTCCGCCTTTGGCGTGTTGGAATTCTCTTCGACCTGCTCTTCCTTGTCGGCTCTCGGTAGACGCATGGCGAGAAGCACATACTCAGCTCGAGTCATATTATCCATCACATCGTCCATGTAACGTCGTACGTCATCTTGAGGAGCAACGACCCTGGTAAAATTCTCGAGGTGCTTGCTGGACTGTGCATATATCCGGACCGTCACGGGCTGATAGTAATCCAACGTTGGATCCCCTCCATATTCCAATTTGCTCCCCTTGCGTACGATAAGGAATGATGCTATGATCTGGTTGGGGTTGACATATTCGAGGATGCTATATTTGGGAAATAAGTACCTATCTCCAGTGCCGCCCGAAAATTCGAGTACGACGGCCGAAATGTCGGGTTTGGTAGAAGGCGGTGGCCCCTTCGAGCGGAGGGCCTGCTGCGAACTGGACCCATGAATAGGCTGCCCAGGTGCAGCGAGAGACGCCTTCCTCGAGGCGGCGCTATTTACTACCGCAGAATTTTCTGCCCCGTTCGGGACTGTTGCCTGAGAAGCACTCGATGTCGCCTGCTGAGACTTCGGCGTTTCCTTCGCGACAAGATCCTTTAGTTTATCGAGGGTGGCCTTCAAATCTGTGGCATCTGTGAATTTAGTCTTCCCTTCTGCTATTCTCCGGACAATGTCCCGCGTAGTCGCATCATCCAAGGCTTTCTTCACTAGAAGAATCACTAAAGGATCGCTCCCCGGCGGCGCCCTTAAGTCGTTCGACCTCTGGTGCGGATTGGACGCAAGAATAATATCAAGGATAGTTCGGACCTCATCCGCGAAATACTTAACCGTCCTGCCGTCCACGAGAAGCCGATCGGCTGATGGGCCGTGCTGGCCTCCCTTCCTCTTATAATCGGCGGTAATTTGGTCAATTATCTTCTGAAAATGAGCCAGCTCGTTCGGCGCAGCATCCCCTATGGCCACGCGTTTCATGAGATCTCGGAGCTGAGGATCTTCGGATGCTCTCTCCGCTAAAGTGACAATTATGGGATCGGCACCAGGTGCCGTTGGCGTCGCCGGCTTAGCGGCTGGCGCGGAGGGTTTGGCTCCCGAAGGAGCGACCGCTGTCGGTGCTGTCGGACTAGGAGCATGCAGTGGCCGGTTGGTAATCGAGCCGGGTTGGGGATGCCCTTTTGGTTGAGGTGGCGCCGGTTGTGAAGGGCCAGCCGCAGGAGGGAGTGCTGGTGGATGTTGTGGAGCGGCAAGAACCGACTCTAGACCTCGAGGGGAAGTTAACGGCTTATTAGTTACGGGAGCGGACGATGGAGGTCGCTGTAAATCTGATTGTTGTGTCTGAGGCTGAGGCTGAGGCTGAGGTTGGGGCTGGGTTTGGGCTTGCGCTGTTGATGGCGGTTGAAGTGACGACTGGGCTGGGGCGTGCGAAGGTGAGGCCGACGGAGCCGTTGGGGCTGTTGGGGCCGTTGGAGCCGTCGAGGTTATAGGCGTGGACGGGGCACTCAGCTTCGGGGGAGGAGGCATAACGCCGTTCGGAGGACCATACTGCATGATAGGCCGGAAGGTAGAGTTGGTGGTCGGCGCATGTTTCGGATCCTTAACAGCATACATGGTGGCTTCAAGAACGTGAGGTTCGACGGTGATCGTGATCTGGCCAATTTTTGTCATACTGTCTTTCGGGGGGTTGTTCGGATCTTCCTTGACAACTCCTTTTCGTTTCGTGGGCTTCGTCCAGTACTTTTCGAAGATACCCTCGTGGATCCATTTCTGGCGTGACCTTGAGAGCGATTCGGCCACGACACCACTGAAAGAGTAAGGTTACCATGCAACAGCTAGAGGCAGTCAGAATAGATGAATATTACCTCTCTTGAATAGATTGATAGTCCTTGCTCATAAGATCGTCAGGCTGCGGATGTTCTACGGTTGGCAAGGGATGGCCGGCTTGAATGGACTTTGGCAATTGCGGTTCTTCGGGGACGGATTCAGAATGCGCCGGGTTTTGTACTGGAGCTGCCGCCGGCGTTGTTGCCGATGCTGGCGCAGGCGCCGGCGTAAGGGATCGTTCGGGAGGTGTTCCAGTACGTTTCTTAGAGACATGGTCGACTCTTGCAGCCGCTCTTGCTGGCAGCTTTCGTTTTCTCTCCATCGGGTCTAATTGGGCCAGTATATCCAGATGCTGGCCACGCGATGGAAATTGGTAGAAGAGTATATATCTAGGTATATGTATAGATATGTCAAGGTCTCATTATTCATCCGCTGTAAAGGGGCGGGAAACGCGAGGGCATCTCGACAAGAACGATGATCGTTTGGAACGACTATGACGACGACGATGGTAAGACGGAAACTCTGTGTGTCAAAATGTCCACAAGATTTCTAAGTTGCTACCCTTATTACCTTAATTGATATAAAAATATTAGGTAAATTTTGTAAACCTTAGTCCATGGTTTGCTGGTATATTTATAATTTTTTTTTGTCGTGAGGAAGGTTGCAGGTGCCTTGACGATAAGAATTAATACTAGCATAAACAGCCTTGGAGAAAAGTAGACCTGAGCCGGAGTTTGTGTTGAAATGTTAGCAGGTTAGATGGAGACGCGGGTTTTAGTATGTACCGGGAATGTACTAGCTCACCGCGTACACAGTACCTACTGCGCCGTTTGATGTTTGTAAAGCACGTACAAGTACAGTATAGTAGAGTCATAGAGGCACGATTACATACATATCTAGTTACCTAGTACCTAGAAAGTAGGTACATATGTACTTATGACAAAGGTACAGACCTCAGATATCCAGGTACCTAAGTATATATACAAAGCGCGCCACAAACCCACATTCATCTAAGCACTTTACATAATGACTATCAGAACTATCAATGCTTATATACCGTAAAATGTGTTTTAGCAAACTACTATATTGATTTAGTAAGACCCTCAGGAGGATATTGAAGGTTCTCCTAATTAGTACCTACATACATACCTATATAAGACTACCTACCTACCTATGTATATAGTTATCTCAACCTTTTACAATTACATACCTCCTACAAACGTATCACGAATTCCTTCTGGCTCTCTACCTCATTGTTTACGTATTGTTATATACCGACTCAGGTATTCATTGTGGGAATTGCTTCGTTTTGTTCTCTAAAACTAACACCGTCCGACTACAATATCCCAAACCTGACAGTTTCCCCCGTGAGCTAATGGCTGCGCGAGCGTCTTGTTGGGCCATCCCACTAAGTGTGAGCTTAGGCATTCCAATTAGTCTCTACGTAACTTTCATCTTGCTCGGCGCATTTCCCTTTTTTCAAAGACAGTAAGATCTCTAACCCTGATTACCGCTTAGGTATGCCTCAATAGGACGCGCGCAATATGCTGATGAATAATGGGAATCCGCCAGTTTCTTGTATGCTCATCGAGTGAACACGCTGTTCTGGCATAACATTGATAAGCCGGAATATTGGGGGTTTGCTAGTTAGTTCCTGTCTTCACCTCGGAGATTGGCAGCTATAGTATTCGTCTAACCTGATCGATGTAAAGAGAACCAAGTGACACCTTTCTCGCTAACTGCTCCTGATGGCGAAAGCCTCTACGCATGGCATATTTTGCCGCTCCCCACTTACCTAAAGCACGAGAATACCCTTCAGTTCCAGCAGTCGGGTTTCTCGGATGATATCACTAAGACGGAATCGTTTAAGCTGCTCAGAAATGACCCTGAGGCTCGACTTGTAGTCTACTGTGAGGAATTATTACGCCCGCATGCTTTCATATCAAGGATGCTAACCGAATAAACTGCAGTCCATGGGGTGAGCTAATTTCCAGTTGAGTGGTGTTTCGCTTGCAATGGAATACGACGAGACATGAATCGAGACTAAGCCTACTAACTCCGTCGTGAATAGAATGCCGGCCACATTGCTCAGCGCATTCGTCCTAACAGTTACCACTCTCTAACAGACTCTTCTCGCTACCACGTCCTGGCCATTGATTACCGTGGTTTCGGCAAGTCGACCGGCACGCCGTCGGAAGAAGGGCTTATTCGTGATGGCATTACAGCCGTAGACTGGGCGATGGATATAGCAGGTATCCCAGCAAACCGGATCGTCGTCCTAGGCCACAGCCTCGGCACGGCGGTTACGAGCGGTATCGCGGAACACTTTGCCATGCAAGGCATCGAGTTCGCGGGCTTCATCCTTGTTGCCGGGTTTTCTGACCTACCAACCCTTGTCTCTACATATGCAGCAGCTGGATTCATACCAATTCTCTCGCCAATCCGAGCGTTCCCGCCACTCCTCCGCTTCTTCCAAAGCTTCATAGTAGACAAGTGGAAGTCCGCGGACCGGCTTGCCCATCTCGTGAGCCTGACGCGAACGAGACTACGACTGACTTTCATTCACGCCAAGAACGACTTAGATATACCATGTCACGAGAGCGACGTATTGTTTCAATACGCGTCGAGCGCCGCTGTCAATGAAGAGCTCGACGACGATAGCTTTTTATCGTGGAAAGAGCAACGGAGTTTGCGTGGAGAAGATGGAACTTTCGTCGCAATTGTTAAGGCTGGGCCGGATATGATTATTAGGGAAGAACTGCTACCATATGGCGGTAAGCTATTACGTGTCGAAAGCATGGAAATGAAAAGCAATACTGATAAATATAGGGCACAACGATGTCATGATGTCTTCGGCTGTTTCGCTAGCAGTTATGAGGTCGTTTGGGTTAGATACAGCCTAGGTATTTCTAGAGATACTGTTCATTAATACGGTATCTGGATAATAGGGGTTTATTATCAATAAGTTTCCTAGACTTGGTTTAGCCTTTATTCACGAATTAGAGATGATATATTTTGAATACCTAGGTGAAACGATAATAGCAGGTATCTCATAGTAAGTATATATATGTGTGTGCCTTGTCTTGTTAAAATTGATAATACCTATATTATTAGAACGGCCGTACAATTCAATCAAGGCACACTATGTAGTTATATGTAGTTATCAAACTTGTCGGTAAAGGATGTATGTATTAAATGGGTTGAACGGGGTTGAAGTTCACAGCTCGTACGTAGGTAGGTACTATCAAAGCCTAGATAGGTACAATACAGCCTACATACCAATAGGTACCTACCTTAGGTAAGTGAGGTCTGTACCTGGTATGTACTTAGCTACTGCCCCGCGCTCTTAGATACGACCCATAATTCTTTACAAAGATACTCGAATATATCAATCTTTCCTATTGCCCTACTACAATTACACGACCTACGCCGCCCCCCAGGAGGAAGACTTAAAAATCATGCCCGAAGATCCAAAGCCTGCAAAAGGCAAGGGAAAGGATAAAGATAAGGAGAAGGAGAGTGAAAAGGAAAAGGAAAGGGCTGCTAAAAAGCTCCACAAAGCTATCGACGGCCTCTCCAAGGAACAAGTGACCCAACTCCTGGACCTCAATCCCGCCCTCGCAAACGAACTTGGCAGCGGAAGTAATGATGACCCCAATTCTGCCGCTGACGCCCTCAAGCGTCTCAATCTCCAAGATATTATGACCGGACTAGCTTCGAGCGGGAAGAATGCTAAGGACATGGGTGCTTACAAGTTCTGGGCTACCCAACCTGTTCCCAAGTTCGGTGAAGATGGCGATGCCGCCGAGCCCGTCGAGGAAGGCCCCATTAGAAAGCAGACCGTTGACGAAATCCCGAAGACACCGGCGCCTTTGCTAGATGGTTTCGAGTGGTCTACCATAGACCTACTTGATGATAACCAGCTAAAGGAGGTCTGGGAATTGCTAAACGGACATTACGTCGAGGATGACGAAGCAATGTTCCGCTTCAACTATTCAACCAGCATTCTCAAGTGGTGAGTCGCCGAGATCATTATAAGAGGAGGGCATAAGAGCTGACAACTGCTTACTCAGGGCTATGATGCCGCCTGGATGGAAAAAGGAATGGCATCGAGGAGTTCGAGCCTCGCAATCCAGAAAATTAGTCGGTTTTATCGCTGCTATCCCCGTCGAATTGCGCGTTCGGGACAAAGTCCTACATGCCTCCGAGGTAAACTTCCTCTGTATACACAAGAAGCTTCGCTCGAAACGTCTAGCTCCCGTCCTCATCAAGGAGATCACGCGCCTGTGCAACTTAGAAGGAGTTTTCCAGGCCATATATACCGGTGGCATTGTTCTTCCCAAGCCTGTTAGCACATGTCGATACTATCACCGAGCCATCAATTGGCAAAAGCTATACGAAGTTGGCTTTAGTCCCCTACCACCGAATAGCAAACCTCAGTTCCAGATAAGGAAGTACGCCGTTCCGGATCGAACCTCAATTCGGGGACTTAGAGAGATGCAGAAGAAAGATATTGGTGCTGTCCAAGACCTCCTCACGCGATACCTGGCCAAGTACGACTTGGCTGCCGAGTTTGATAAGCAGGAAGTTGAACATTGGCTACTACATAATAAGAAGAATGCTCTGGAGGAACAAGTCGTCTGGACTTACGTCGTTGAGGCAAGTCTATTTATCACACACCCTCGCCCTGCTCGTATTTTAACCGAGACAACAGGATGAGCACAAGAAGATCACTGACTTTATCTCATTCTACTGCCTCGAGTCTTCGGTTATTGGTAACAGTAAGCACTCGAATGTGAAAGCAGCATACCTCTTCTACTACGCGACCGAAACGGGACTCGCCGCTCCCGTTGACAAGGAAGCCCTGAAATCCCGTCTCAACGCTCTAGTCTCAGACTCTTTGGTATTTTGCAAACAGTACCAGTTTGACGTATACAACGCCCTCTCGCTGATGGATAATGGCCTGTTCCTCGAAGAACAAAAGTTTGGTCCGGGAGATGGACAGTTACACTATTACCTATTCAACTACCGGGCGAATCCGATAGCAGGTGGTGTTGATAAGAGGAACCGCTTAGACACCGAGGCACTAAGTGGCGTTGGGTTCGTCAGACATCATGAGATGATCGAGTAATAGTCGCTAACTTGAGAACAGGAAGACGCAAATTTGAACCTATGTGGGCACATCCAATGGAACGGATGATATGGCATAAGGCCTTTGGCAGATACCTGCGTAGGTAGGCGGCATGTACTTTATAGCGGATTCTTTTGGGGGGCGATACCCTTCGTCTCAGGGGCTCGCTAGCCAGACCGACTTATCGTGGCCAGGCGTTGCATGATTCCATATGGAATTCTCCGTGTCGGATCTACAGGGACGCCGGCCCTCAGCACCCCAATCTACAAGTGTGCCTCGTACCCGTCAATTTCTTTTTCAAGACCTGCGGCAATTATTCGTTCGGGTAGATGCATTTCTAAATGATACCTGAAGTACAGCCTGAGAAGGCTTGAGCACCCCTTAGCCAATCAGATGTCCCGTGCCTGTCCCGACATTCGCCCAATAAATTAGGATCGAGAAATGTCTGTGATGTCGCCATGTATATGCAACCAATTGATGAACTCCTCATCCCTTTATTAAGGTCTACATTCTCTGTGCGTCCTGACCATGAAAAGATTTGTCAAGTATTTCGCGGACGCCCAGGCCTCACTCGCACTCGCCCGCACACGTGGCAGAAGTCGGGATATTCATCAGCTTTGTTGGGACTGCTGATGTTTCCAGAAGGACCACGTCTTGCGAGTCAATGCCAGTACCACAAATTAAAACTCAGGGCCGTGGGCCTGTGGCGTTTCTTGAGTAACATGACCCAAGCTGCCTCGAAGGCTCCCGGAAGCGGGATACGAAAGCGGTCTGTGTTAAATCGAGGGCCGCTATCTCCCTCGTCATTGTCAAGAGTAGTGAGCTCCCGTCCGACGATGTGCGGTTACATGTTATTGAAGTGGTACTGCGAGGAGTGCGGAGCAGTAGGCCTTTCCCAGATATTGTTGCCCATCACGTACCTATCCTATCACTCGTTGACGAGCTCGTCGAGCCTCCGAACCTCTTCAGTAGACCATACGCTCTTCTACATCTGGCCCTGCGAGCTCGGGACTTCACCCTATAAACCTCTTGGGGGCATAAAGGCTAACTATATCTACAGTGGTACACCAGCGACGAGGTCAAGGTCGAAGATTGCAACGCCTTCAACTCTACAGGCGATTGTGATCAGCGAATCCTTGTGGGAGCGGGAGAGTCAGATGCCGGCGGCCTCTGCGACGATTGCACAAGAGAGCATCATAGTGATGCATAGTCTCAACTTTCCCCTTAGGAGGCGCAACTCCAAGAACAGATTACAACAACATTCGGAGTATGAGATGTCTATACTATGCCTCAGGTCGTAAGATAATTCGATAGTCAGTGTTTTCTATCCAGCCACCCAGAGCACCTACTAGGTAATGATGGTTATATACCGGATTATCGCCTGCTATACGACTTACACGAATACTTGATGGAGCACCATGCTAATATTCGGTATTCCTACAGGTGCCGCGCCCAAAGCCTAGGAAATATTTGCTTGCACGTGGATAGATAAAAGGGGGGGCTGGTCTCAAAGAGAGACAGAAAAAGTGATCAATTCTATCTTTGCTTTGGTGTTGAGTTACCTGTAAGGAAGTTCGGCGGCATGGTATCTATTTCTAGTATTGTATAAATTGATCGGGCGCAATCGAACGACCATCCTTTGGCCCAAGAATGATCATCAGATGATTATGGGGATAATTTATACGATAGGTAGTTCAACTTATGTGCAAAACTGGATTTAGGCTTATTTAACTATGCAGTCAACAATAGCGATGGCCTTTTTTAAAATGTGCGCAAGTAAATGGCTTTGAGTGTTATGGACGGTCACTTTTACTATACGACTAAGTGGTTCTTTAATATGGTTATGTTTGAGGTGACAAGTTTACGTTGATATAAGTCACTGTACAAGTACTCGAACCTGGGGTGGCCCATTAATATTCAAGGTTGTTACGGAGGGTATGATTGTTTAAAAATAAAACAGTGCATATCAATATATAAATATCTCTAAATATGTACCTAGGTAGTATTTCAAAATAACGAATGAGAGAATAATATTAGAAGAAATTGTTAAGATAAAGGTTATCTATGACGGTACCTACCTAGCGTATAAGAGTTTGGATGAATTCATTTATTAATTAGGTACTTACCACCGGCACCAGGCCGATATCCGTGGTTGCGGGACGATAGAAGCCGGCCGAGAGCCGGAGCTGGACATAGCTAGCACAAGGGTATGGATGATACCATCATAAGGCTTGAATGACATGATGCGGAGAAGAGCAGAAGCCGGTAGCCAATCAGAGGACGTCTACAGCACGCAATCTGGATCCAGTCTGGAAATAGACTAGTGAGGGGTGACTTCGCCGACAAGGGGAGTATGAGCTTTGCGCCGGTTTGCATCAGGGCGTCGCGGGGCACGTCGAAATAAGGCTCGAGACAAGAAAACATAAGATAGTCGATGAATTGCGACATTATCTTAATTCCTATTTGGGTTTTGATAGCCACAAGTCAAGTTGACTATTGGCCAGGTGCCGAACCGAGCTAATCCATCTATTGCATTCCATCACTTGCCTAACCGTATGTGAATAATAGATTACTTACCAGAGAGATCGGGGAGGTCAGGGAGGTCAGGGAGGTCCATAGGTAAGGTGTGCTACGTCTAGTACATTAAATACCTGACGTCGTGCGCTGACCCTACCTCGAACGGACGACTCCTTTCTTTCTAACCATATTTCTATTCATATTATCTCTGTGACTTGTGATACCCACCTCCTTTCCCTCTCTGCAAAGTGCTTCGCCTCAGACATTCATATCTCCATATCTATCTCGTCTCTTCCATCTCAAGTTTTATCATACCTTAGCTCGCATCAATCACAATGGCTGACTCCAGAGCTGCTCCGTAAGTCCTCACTTAGCTACAAACCCTTTTTCTGCCCCGCCGGGGGGGGGGGGGGGGGGGGGGGGGGGGGGGGGGGGGGGGGGGGGGGGGGGGGGGGGGGGGGGGGGGGGGGGGGGGGGGGGCGGGGGGGGGCC